TGCGTAACAAACTCATTAGTGGGAAATTGCCCTTCTTCTACATTGTGTTGGGCATCAACGGGAATACCACTATAACCAAAAGGATTCATTATAAAAAAATAAGATGAATTTGATAGAGAGAGCGCTTTAGAAAAATTGTGAGAGATATTGAGAGAAATTGAGAGAGATTGAGAGAGATTGAGAGAAATTGAGAGAGATTGAGAGGGATTGAGAGAGTTTGAGTGAGAAAAATGTGTGAGGGATGGGGGGTATTTATAGGGAAATTTTGGGGTTAAAAAATGATTTTTTTTCAAAAAAAATGGGATAAAATGGCTAGTTTTTTGAAATTCGGGTTCGGGCAGTCGGGCAAACTCGGGCAGCTCAGGTTTTCGGGCAAAATTAAAAAAACTAGCCATTTTCGGGCAATTCGGGTAGTTCGGGCAACTCGGGTTTTCGGGCCGAATTCGGGTATTCGGGCATCGGGCAGTCGGGCAAACTCGGGCAGCTCGGGTTTTCGGGCAAAATTCAAAAAACTAGCCGTTTTCGGGTATTCGGGCAACTTGGGTTTTCGGGCAGAATTCGGGTAAAAATTCAAAAAAGTAGCCGTTTTCGGGCAACTCGGGCACCTCAGGCAATTCGGGCAGGCGGGAAAAATTCGGGCAAAATAAAAAAAAAACAACCGTTTGAGTTTTTGGGCAGCGGGTCGGGCAATTCGGGCACACCTGATTTTTGGGTCGGGCAGTTCGGGCATGGTCGGAAAAATTCAAAAAAATCCCGGCGGATGGCAGTATACGGTGGTTAGACGGCGGCGGGCAAGGGTGGACATGTCAAATTCGGGCTGCCTGAGCCCGAACCCGAATTTCTTGCTTGGGCGGGCGGGAATTGGGCCTGCCCGTCCGAGCTCGAAAAAATTCAGGCTTCGGGCAGCCCGCCGACCCGAAGTTCCAGCACTACTCGAATCAGCGAAAAGAACGGGTTACGGTATGTTTTGTAAGGCGAAAAAAAGAGTGAAAAGTAAATAGATGAGGATGTTGGAGTGGAAAATATAGTTCGTTAATTTGAATTTTTAATTTGATTTGAGATTTAATTTTATGTGATAATTTTTTATTATAATAAAAAAATTAAATGTGATTGTTTTTGACAATTTTTTATTATAACAAAACTTAAATTTTAAATTCAAATTACCGAAATGAACAAGATCTTAGGTTGCTTAGTAAAGAGTAAATGAGGAATGAAGGAAAATAGAAATCTATAGGACCGTTAGTTTTTAATTCTCCTAAACTTTGGGAAGAAAAGATGAGAGAAAAAATTTAACAAACAAATAAAGTGTAAAATAATAATTTTAACATTAATCATTTATCATATTTTTATTTGTATTAGGATATTATTGTAAAATGGCTTAGATTTGACATTTTATTTTGACTTTTCTACTAAATAACATGAGAAAAAATCTTAATTCTATCATTTTACTTCTTTTATTTAAGTATTTTATTTTTCCTTCCTTTATCTTTTCTTTTCTTCCTATCAAACATAGCATTATTCTCAAACAAATACGCGGCCGATTTGGGAAATAAGGATGATTGGGTCAAGGTCTTCCATGTGTATATATCACTTCACGTCATCATTCATTTTTCATGTGAAACAACACGCACATGTACTTTTATTAATAATTTCTCATTTATATGTGTATATATCTTTGTTATTTTAATGGCGATATTTTGTGTTAGTTGTGTATTAACTAACTTCCTATTTAAGATTTTTATTATTAAATGAATTGAAAAAATAATAACACCATAGCCAAAACTTGAACAGACGAAATAATCTGCAATGCACCTAGATTTCAACTAGCACAAAAGCAAGTTTGTGTTTGGATACGCTTCTTCCCATAAAGTACATAACAAAGGCATGTCATCTCCCCTCCATACATAACCCCTCTTTCTTTCTTTCTTTTTTTCCCACGAGAACTCTTTTTAACATTTCCACCACGTAAAAAGTTACTAAAGATTATGATCCTCCAAATATTTTATCCATTAACTGATAAAACCTTGAGAGATCTCATATATCAAGACTGCTTTAGAGGTCAAACAATGTAGTTGTTTGCATCCACTGAGTGATGGTAACGCACAAACAAGCCTTGTCTCATGCTTCACACGGACGCAGGTGTCTCCTTTTCTGATTGGCCGCCTTTAGATCCGTTTTCTAGAATCTTACTCTCGGACGGCAAATTCTTCTTAGCTTTTCTGCTCCCCTCAACTTTCCACATATCCCACACCTTTGTTTTTGGTGGAGGAGCTGCATCCGCAGTTGGTGCAACTAATCCGGGCTTCCCGTCATCAATCACCTCATCGATCAATCCGTATTCCTTTGCTTCCCAAGGATTCATGAAATTGTCACGATCTGTATCCAATTCAACCTGCAAGACAAAGCAATATTCCAAGCATAAGATAACTGAGCATTATAAGAATGCAAATGTCGCAGGAAAATATTATTGTTTATTGTCCGACCGACCTGCTCTAAAGGCTTCCCTGTGACTCTTGAGAGTATCTTGTTCAGCTTAATTTTATGGTACACCATTTCTCTAATTCGTATACTCATTTCCGTTGCCTGCAACACGACTAGTTACAAATCAAAAACAAGAAGACTTCTGTTGTCAATCCACTAAACAAATTAGTAACAACACGTATCTTCAGACGAGTGTCTCCTCATCTGGTCACCACAATACAAGTGTATGCCCAACACACGAATGCAACAAAACCTCTCTGTACAAAGTGTTCAACCTTGTAATGCCAGTAATCCATCGACTACATATTTGCATTTCCTTGAAAATTCAAAAACTTAATGACATAATAAAAGTATGGTTGACTCCTTGACGCAACAATGCAATGAGGTTAATAAGTTCTAATATCGAACTGTTAAAAGGACTATCCAGGAAAATGCTAGTCCAGATTCATGTCAGCTTTTGCCTAAATCAAGACATATATCTTAATGCGCCATTTCTTGCAGTTGTAGTCCATTGCATAGCCAGGTATTGCGGTTTGGATTGTCTGATGAAAACTTTACTCACATCTATAGCTATTTTATCTAATTAGACTAAAGTCTATAAAGTCAGTGTTTCTCAAACTTGTTACAATTGATTAAATTTGTAGCAACTCAATTATTTCAGAAACTCTCATCCCAGTAAATAATCTCAACAAATTCAATAGATGGGATTGTTCAGAATAGGGAAGAGCACAGACTGTTTCTGACCATATTGTAAAACAAATCCCTTCCGACAATATAAATTTTCCTCTCAGCTATTCCAAGAAATCTGGATTTGAATTTTGAAAGAAGAGGTCATATTAATTATTATAAAGTGAATTTCGTTTCAATTTACCAAAAAAAATTTTGCGCATCTTATGCACTTGCAACATTTAGATTAAAGGGTCTCAAGATATCTCATCCATCTATCCATCTTAAATGCTGAAAACCAATCTTCTCATCCCCCAACACTTGCCTAAGTTCCATTCTGATGATCCATTCATGTTTACTTTCAAATCTAACAATACAACAGAGACATATCCAAGCATGAAAGATTCAGCGAAAATGATGAAAGAAAACGGAAGAATCATGAAGTATAAGAACCTTGAATCTGCAGATATAGTCTCATCAACAGAACTCAGTTTTTAAAATGACACGAAGAAAAACTGTACTTACTTTGCCTCCGGAAGTGCCAAGTGGTTGATGAATCATAACTCTGGCGTTGGGCATGCAAAACCTCTTTCCTTTTGTACCAGAAGCAAGAAGAAACGCGCCCATGGATGCTGCAAGCCCTAGGCAAACAGTTGAAACATCTGCCTTGCATAGTTTCATGGCATCATATATTCCCATTCCTACAGCCCAGTATGACAGAATAAGAACAAAAATGAAGATATGGACTCAGAAACTCGAACCAGATTACTCAGAGAAACAATGCTACAAACCCCAATTGCTTTCACTGTCCAAGCACATCACCATTGCAATTTATTTTAACACACGACCATTTAAGGCACTCAACAGTATCTTCTGGTTAAAGACTAAGCAGAATTGCATTTCAACAAAGCAATCACCATGTCAAAATGATATTATGGACTATCTATGGAATTCAGACCCCCTTCCATTCGGGCCTCGACTGTTTAAGTGAATTTGTTCAGTTCAAGACTTACCCATAACATGGATTTGATAGGGACTTGAAAACTATAGAATGTAAGAGAAAGGTATAAGGCAAGGATGATTATCTATCACATGGAGATTTCAATGTAGAATGCAGCAAAATTAAAGCCTTTATCCTAAAGGGATCGCTATCAGATTGAAACAATCACAAGTGTTGTGCTGAACATATTTATAATCCTTGAATAAATGAAATGACATTTGTTAGCATTTCAAGGTGACTTCTCGTAATTTTTATGTCCAACCATTATCTTTAGAGAATAAAATTTTACTATCAAAATCATTATGGAGATATCATAAGCACACTTTTTTTTGGATAAAAAACAGAAACCTTTATTGATAGTAGTTGAATCAATATAAGGTGAAAGAGGATGAGTAGTCCATAATTAGAACAAAAAACAAAAAGACAGGTCTAACTAAAAAGACATAATAAGCACACTTACTTGATAACATAGCCCAACAAATGGGGCAAAAGCATTACCATACATCAAAAGGTTGAATAACAACTACAAGCAACCCAATATTTGTAAATGCAGTATCAAATATCAATTTTAATTTTTCATGCTGGATCCACAGTTTGATAAATCCAAAGACAAAATCTTTCACTCCGTCCAAGAACAAAAAGCACCAAATACATCAACTCAATTAAAGATTAATAAAAAAAATCTCTATAATTAGTCGTCATATTTCACCATGAATGACAAGAAAAGGGCAAAAAACCAAACAAAAAGGCAAACAAGACAGAATTTCACCAACATGCAGAAGGACAAGAGAAGGTGATTATTCAATGCTACAATATCAGCTGTCAAATCAAATCAACGGCAAAACATATGTCAAGGCATTTGATTTTCAATGAAAAAGTATTTTGGATTACCTCCTCATACCTTACCTCACAATTCGAGAAGAACATATAGAATTAGACACATTAGGAGATTTCACTATAATTTTCTTTAGCTTGGTGCTTCAGAAAAAACAGGAAAAAAAAAAACCTTCTTGAGTCTTGGCTCCATTTTTGAAACATACCAGCAGTAACAGATCCACCGGGTGAATTGATAAACAGCTTAATATCCTTTTTAGGATCTTCAGCATCCAGAAACAAAAGCTGGCTTATCACAAAATCTGCTATCACGTCATCCACCTGAACGACATCCATAACAAGAAGAATTAAATTTAATAAATTCAACCAAAAACAAATTGCATTTGCAGAAAAGTCCACTAGCTAAGCCATACTTTCATCTAGCTTACTTTAACAACCCGAATAACGGATAACCAGCAAAACCCATTTCTCAAGCTTGAGAGAAACAACAACAGTGACAAGAAAGAAATACGTCTTATAAATTTAACAAAAAATGAATTTGATAAACAGGTTCCAAATTTTTCAACGGTTTGAATTTAAAAAACTTAAAGATACTGATAAGTTGGTAAGAACATAAAGCTAAAACCCTTCTAATAACTTCAGTATTCAAATTTCAATCCAAAAAACAGTTGTTATCACACAAATAACGAACAATGACAAAACCTCCTTTGTTTTATAGAAATGTTTGCATTCCATTTTATATTTTTGTAGTGATGATGTGTTTATTCTTTACACTTTACAAATAGTAACAACACCATTTTTCGGGGAGGTTTTTCACACGATTGGTGAAACATGAGACTAAACTGTAGCAAAACTTTCATTTCAATCCTAAACTTTAGCCCGCTTCAACATTTTTTTCCTTGAATTTAAGAGCAACTCTCGAATTAATCATAATTGAATAAACGAAATTATGAACTGAAAAAGAAACAATTATTACCGATTCCAAAAGCAAAAAAAAAAAAAAGCGAAAACCTGAGAGCCCAAGAAGATAATCCTCTGACGAAGAATCATATTTGTAGTATCGAGGTCTTCCAATCTGGGCATCCATGGAGACGAAGTTACAGAGCGCAAATCCTGGCTGACATCCCAGTGACTGGACAAGGTTTGTCTCGAGGACGGCGTCGTTTTCGAGGCCGTAATCACCGGAAAGGCAATTATTCTTCTTCTTCCTTCGCGACAGCCAGTGAGACTACTGGGGCTGCTATTACTGTTACTAGTGCTACTACTGGGAAGAAAAGTCTTCTCGAAGGTTGAAATCGGAAAACGGGTGCGAAGCACGCCATTGTTGAAGCTTAAAGGCCTTGAGGCCAAGCTCATCTCCATCTTTCTTCTCGCTCTCTTTCTCTTTCCGTCTCTTTTTCTTTGTTCTTTTTCTCTCTGGGAAATGGCAGGCGAAAAATAGGTTATACTTTTCCGATGAAGGGAACTCATCCAAAACGTTGTCGTTTCCATGTTGCCAACATTAACCTTCATGTTTTTTTTTTTCTTTTCTTAATTGACTATTGAGTGGTATGTTCAGATATTTTTTTCATCTAAACAAAATTTGATCATATTTGCTATGTTTTGCATGATTTTGTATTGTATGGAACAATCCTTTTTTGAAAAAAAAAATTCAGGGTATGAAATTAAACAACTCTAGGACCTTTTTTGGCACGCCAACAAATTAATATGTTAATTTTTATATCCATCGGATCTACATAAAATCATGTAAAAGTCAAAAAATACGTAAATTTAATGATTAAAAAAACTTGCCCTACCGATACGCTAAGCGTATCAGAGAATCTCCTATTTTATAAGCGTCATATTTAAATTAACCTTTAACATCAATAGTTACTATTTAAATGATACTTTAATCACGAATTATGTCAAATTTTTAAAACAAAATTTTAAAACTACATAAAAGATTTTTTTTTGTGTTTTGGATGATTGCGGAGTAGGATCAACGTGGGACGAGACTAATTCGACAAGGTAAAATCCGACAAGTCATGTGAACGACAAGAATGAGATATCTTATACGGAGTTAATTTATTTTATTAAAAACAATACCTTTTTTTTGCAAGTTTAACTTTTTAAATTATTAATATTTAAATTAATGTTTAAATATTGACTATTAAAGTTATAATTTGACCCGTTAAAGGCCAGTTTTACTTCTTTTAAAAAATGTAAGGATACTTTTGAGATAATCTAAAAATATCGACGATATTTTTTAGATTATAAAAAATATAAAGACAAATGTTGGATTTAGACAAAACTCAGGGACTAATTTGATTTTGCACAAGTTTTTTAGCCTAACTATTATGCAAAATAAACATCACGTGGTGAAGTTTTTTTTTTTTTTTTTTTTTTTTTTTTTTTTTTTTTTTTTAAGAAAAAGTTAGAGAAAGAAGGTTTGCAACCAAAAAAAGAGAGAAGGTTTTGGGGTTGGTGGTCCGGTGTTTCGTTGGATTACCAGCCTCCAAACAAAGAGGTCACCAGAGTTGAGCTTGTACCGTTAGAGGTGTGGACAGTCACTGAAACAAAGCTGTGTAAAGGGAAGAGGACGTCGTGTTTCTGTCGTAGATCCGGGACACGTTCGTCATGTGATCCTGTTAAAACTCCAGGAACTAGGTCACAGGATGGAGGTAAGCAAGGTGGTCCAGTGTGTGTGCCAATCGCCACCCCTCAATGATGGCGTGTGTACCCCACGTGCCGCCGTGATTCCAATTGTTTGGTTGCCGTTTCAGGGGTTTTCTTTTGGCAATGTTCCGACCGTACCTCACGCATTTTCAGCGTTAAGGGGCTCTTTCTTGTGGGTTTGATCTCTTATGTTCTCCCTTATTTTCGTGTTTTAGTTTCAGAGTTTGTAATAAGGGCGATGATTTTCCTAATAGACCCTCCTTCAATGTTTTGTTTAGTGTTAGATTTTGGTGATCGATTTAAGGCCGTTATTTGGCTAGATCTAGTTTGGTGGGCTGAACTTTTTTCCGCTCTACCTTTTGTAGGAGAGTTTATCTGTTATTTGGAGAGGGGGTCGCTCCAGCATCCTTCGAGTGAGCTAATTATTTGCATGACGTCCCGTCAGTATGTTATGGACTTTGGCTCCATTAAGTGGTCTTCTAGTTGTTCAATGGTTTTTCCGATTGCTTTCCGATTGTCATTTTTATGGACTTCGTCTCTCTGTTTATAATCTTTAGGACTTTTGTGACTTTTTAATATTACGTGACATTTTATCAAAAAAAAAAAAAAAGTTTTTTTAGTCCCATCCACGTGAAGTAGCGATTTGTACTCTAGTTTTACAATTTGAGCTGATTTTGTAAAAATGTGATGATAATTAAGATGTCACAATATCTCCTTTAAAAAAATAATGTCACAATATCAATAGGGAATGCTATTACTTACCGTACCTGGCTACTTCACCCAAATATATATATATATATATATATATTAAAATGGAGAATGAGTGAAATACCATATTAGTAGGTGTTTGGTAAACTGCAGCTTTTTTTTTTTTTTTTTTAATATGAAGAAATAACATAATTTAATATTTTAAGTTTCTAACATTATTAAAAGTTTAAAAATACTCCTAAACCTTATCCTTCTCTTTCCACCTCTCTATTTCCCCTACACCATGGCCGATGTCGACGACCGGTGAACTATGGCCAGCGCCAATAATAAGTGACTGGCGATCGGCGTCTATAACCAATAAGTACCGTATTTATTATAAAATATTATTTTACTATCAAATACTATTTTTAATTGTAAATATTGTAATTATTCAAAAATTCTGCCAATCAGATCCGATAACCGCTAATATTATATTTAGTAAAAAATATTATATTTTCCCGTGAATCTTAAATTTATCGATAAATAAATTTATTGATGAAAACGGTATTCACTAAACTCTAAAAATGAGTAAATACAGTAAAACTCGATTGCTGACAATAAATCTGCCATCATTGCCGACCGTAAAAAACATCGGGCGCGTTTAGAACTCGTTCTAAAATGATTTTATTTTTTATATGAAAATGAAAATGAAAATGTTTTCAATATCATACATAAATCATTTTTAAAAATGCGTTTGATAGTTTTATCAAGAGATTATTTTCAGTGTAAACAAATTCATTAATATCTCTATCTCTTTCTCTCTGCTTGAGAGATGAGAAAACAAAAACAAAAAATAAAAAACGATTAAAAGTCACTTTTTATTCTCTTTCATTTTACACTAAACTAAAAAATTATTTTTATTTTTATTTTTTTGTCTTTATTACATCAAACATCATTTTGTAAACGTTTTTATTTTTTTATTTTTAAAAAATATAAAAAATACAAAAAAGATCAATTTTAAACACCGTCATCATTTCTATAAAAAAACAAAAAAACTCCATCATCCACGTAAATGACATTTTTTTTTGTTTTGAAAATATCCATGTGAATTGACAATTGACAAAGGAAAAACGAGTTTTGTTGGTGATTTTGTGAATTTTGGAGTGGGGCGGCGGCGTGGGAAAGTCAGAAATGCACGTGGCCACATGCATCGCCATATTCTATTTATCACTTTCAACAAAAACAAACAAAAAGCTACTAGCAAAAAAATATTTGTTTATTTATTATCACTAATAAGTAATACCCTTACATTTTAAAACATTATCAATTTACTTTTTAAATTTTAAAAATTCATATTTTACTATTTAATTTTTAAATTATTTTTACTTAACTCTTTTTAATAAAAAATAATAATAAACAGTATACGTAATTTCTTTTTTAAATTTTAATTAAAAAATTTAAAATTATATGATTACATTTAATTTTTTTATTTAATTTTAACAAAAATTATAATAAAAAAATTAAATCAGAATAATTTAAAATTTAAAAAATAAAAATATTTAAAATTTAATAGACAAATTAAAAATGACTGTAAAATTTAAAAAATGAAAATAATAAAACAAACCAAAACAAATAACTGTTCACATTTGACAAATCAATATTTATCCAAATTCCAACCGACCAAATAATAAAATAACAAAAACAACGTCAGACTAAGTTCAAAATTTAAATTTTATTTTAATATAAAATTTTTAAATATAATTATATTTAATTTTTTTATATAAAATCACATTTTAACTTAAATTAAAAACGAACTAAACACGCTCGGTGTCTGAAGGATTTTAAAGGCAGAGTTCAAAAAGTCCCGAGTCTCAATGAGTTAGTTCAGAACCGAAAGAAATAATTACACAATTCCGATGAGAAAATGGAATCATCTCTAACGACTCTTCTCTGCGCTCTCTTTCCGGCGAGATTCTCCTTCGACGCTTGCGAAGAAAGCCCTCGGATTATGCTCAGAGACTTGGCCGCCAGAGAATTCAACGCCTTCCTTTGGATTTCCCTCATCGCCATCACTGCTCTCTTGATATCCGAAGTTTTCAAGCTTCTCAGGCTATGGCGGAAGGGAAAATGGATTCCCGGTCCTCCTTGCCCCTCTTTCCACGGCCACGGCAGTCTCATCTCTCGCGAAAACCTCACCGGTCAGTTTAATTGTCCCCGCTGTTTGGTTGCCGAGAAAATTAGCAGTGCACTGATATGCAAACTAAAGAAAATATCGATTTATATCAGTTTAATGTAAGAAAAATCGTTTAATTTTGTGATATTTATTGTAATTTTTTTGGCATTTTAGACGTTTTATCGGAATCGCATGAGAACTATGGATCGGTGGTGAAGCTGTGGTTGGGCCCGACTCAGCTTTTGGTGTCAATAAAGGATCCCAATCTTATCAAAGAGATGCTTTTTAAGGCTGCAGATAAATTGCCTTTGACTGGGAGGGCTTTTCGTTTGGCTTTTGGACGATCCAGTCTTTTTGCTTCCTCTTTCGATAAGGTACAAGTTACTTTTTTCTCTTTCTTTCCTTTTTTTGTTTTTTTGTTTTTTTTTCATTCAAAGTTTTATTTTCTTATACCTTCTTGTTATAGTTGCTTATGGAGTGTATTTGCCAGAAAGAATCTAATACATGTATGATATACTCTTTAAGCACGCCTCTATGTCCATTTGGTTATTGTAAACTTTTGTATAGTGCTGCACCTTAGATGGCGGCAGTCCAGTAGCCGAAAATATCACTAGCTTACGCTCTGACCCGAGTAGCATAGGACACATGGAATCCCGTGTGAATAAGCAAGGACCACCTTGCAAGGCTAACTAATCCCGGGGACCGATAGTGAAGTAGTATCGTGAGGGAAGGGTGAAAAGAAATTTGTTCAGCTTATTATCTGCCCCTATGATTTGGCGGATAGTAACATAAACCTCCCTCGTTTTCTTATCAAAATGCAATATTCCACCCTACGTCTTCGAGAATGTTGCACCTATCCCCTACACACAAACACAAATATATATATATATATATATATATATATTAGTGTTAAAAACCTCCTAACATATTTGTAAAATGCAGTGATAGGTGGAGGAATCCTTAAAACATAGGGCGGAAGCCACATTTCGGAAGAACACAAATGGTTTCTGTTATTATTACTTTGATTTATGCTTTTCCATATCGGTATCTCTAGATTGTTTTGTACCGCTTCTTTGCTGTACAATATTATTTCCTCTTGTTTACTTAAATTGTTTAACTAGAATGTTATAGCTGCTTATATTTGATCCCCAACAATATGCATACTTGTTTACATTCATCAGTCATGGTTTTCAAAAGTCATTCAAGGAAATAGTAAAATTATTCTTCAATGTTTAGTATTCCTATTTTGATGGATTATTTCTGTTTTGTTTATTCCCAGTAAAAAGTTATATCCAATTCCTTTCGTTCATGTTCAGGTGCAAAAGAGAAGGGAAGCATTGATGACAAACTTAAGTGAAAGATTGCTTGTGAGGGCAAATGTGATTCCTGGGAAGGTCGTGGAATGCATAATGGAGAGAATACAAAAATCCATGGCCAAAGGTAGTGTTGATTGTAGAATGGTTTCTCAACACATGGCTTTTACCATATTGGGAACCACACTCTTTGGAGATCCTTTTTTAGCTTGGTCTAAGGCCAGTGTTTACGAGGAGCTCCTTATGATGATTGCTAAGGATGCATGTTTCTGGGCTTCGTATAATGTTACCCCATTCTGGAAGCGAGGGTTTTGGAAGTACCAGCAGTTATGTACAAAGCTGAAACGCTTAACTCAGGATATTATTCAACAATGCAGAAGAAGTTGCAAGATATTTCATTGCATGGATGATGACCACTGTAATGAAACGGCAGGCACAGGAAAGAATGCTTCATATGGTGCATCGTATTGCTCTGATGGTGTAATTCCAGAGAACTTTTTCTTTCATGAGTTTAAAGGCCATATGAATGAGAGAGAAGATGAACCATCCAGTAATATTATGGGCATGATGTTTCATGGATGCCTGACCACAACGGGCTTGATTAATAATATCTTGATGAGGCTTGTCACACACCCAGAAATACAAGATAAGGTAGCTTTCTCTTTTCTCTTTATTCATTTCCAATGTTATTTTGTGCCTCTTGAAATCATTGTGCCAGAATGTGATTTATGTAGTAGAATTTGAATTCAGGTACACCTATGTTTTCTTTCTTGATTATTTTGGTTGATGTCTTAAAATTTTTAATCTTTGTGACTCCATTTTGCATTTTAAAATCCAACCTTCAGCAGGTGCATGTTGATCAGTCAAATTGGAGAAATTTTCTTTCCAAAGAGCTGAAATAAACTTAACGTTTAGTTCCCCCTAAATAATCTTAAAACTCTCCACTTTCGTGTTTTGCTTGAAGAGCATGACCTAGTTATAGTCTTCCCATATGTATATTGTTTTTCTCAGGATCTGAACTAATTTGTAAATTGAATCTACATTCTGGATGAGTTTAACTACCATTATTTGTGCTTAACTTGGATGACATTAGTGATATTTATTATCATGTGCGAGACATTAAGTTGATTTTCCAAATTTATATCTCTGTCCCCCTACAGATTTACACAGAGATTACTTTGGCACAGAAAGATTCAATGACACCAGTTGAACAAAATGTTGATAAGATGCTCTTATTATTGGCAACTGTTTATGAATCTGCCCGACTTCTGCCAGCTGGACCTTTGCTTCAGAGATGTTCTCTTGATCATGGTAATGTGCTCACTTCTTTAGTACAAGCTTAATATGTAGCAGGATAGCACTTCTAAGTGGCTGTCTGTCTTTTTTTCTGTCCGCCTATAGAAGTTTGACTGGGGTAGTTCTAGTCTCTTTTTACTACATGAAGCATGTGTATAGCTTTTTCTTTACAAGTTTGACTGGGGTAGTTCTAGTCTCTTTTTACTACATGAAGCATGTGTATAGCTTTTTCTTTACGCGGGTATTGTAACTTCTCTTTGCCAAGGTGCAACTCTGCATGAGTTTATCATAATGCTGAACTGTTTCAGGGCTATTGTCTGTTCAGTATTATGATATTAAGGTTTTGGAATGCATATTTTTTATGCATGAGTCTATACTGTATGAAATTAGGCAGAAGGCCGCAGATGTTCTCTCTGCTCCAAGTGCATGTTGAGATTTTTTATTTTTGAGCTTAGTAATTAATAGCAATTAGCACTAAGTAACATATCATGTCATATCAATGTAGAAGTAGATATATCTCTTTTGGTTAGCTCCTATTACGTTTATGCGTGTAATGGAATTACTTTGTGCATTTGCTTTAGTTTAGATTGAATACCAGCTCAGAATCACTGAAGTGAGATTTCAAGTTGCTTGTTTGACAATAACTATGTTCTCCAAATTGTATTCCTATGTTTACTGAAACAATGAAGCATGAAATGTTGGTTGATATTGAGCAGAGGAAAGAGAAGAATGATTTAGATGATTTCGTGTTATCCTGTATTTCGAGTTTGATTTGTGGGTCCAGGGACAAGTCTACCCTACATAGACTCTGGTGGAAGTCCTTTTTTTTTTTTTTTGGGTGATGGTTTGATAGATAGGTTGGATGTGGCTATGATAGTTTTTTGGCTACAGTTACGGTTGTGTAACTCCTGGTATGGAGGCTTTTGATGTTTGATGGTGATGTTAGTGGTGTCACTAGTGGAATTGGGCAAGTGCTGGTAGTGGACTCTAATGGGCTGTGGTGATATTGGATTTGTATGGCTGGTATTTCTACCCTTGAACGGATGAGTTGAGGAGAATGGTGATAAAGTGCTTATAGGATAAACAAAAACTTATGCTTTAATGATAGGGCATTTTATCTTCAATTTTTCTCATTGTTGATTTCAGTTTATGGGGGTATGGGATCTATAGTGGGCGAGAAAATCACACATTTGATTGAGTATTGTACCAATCAATCTTTACCTCTTATTCTAGTATGTGCTTCCGGAGGAGCACACATGCAAGAAGAAAGTTTGAGTTTAATGCAAATGGCTAAAGCCCTGTTCGTTTTGCTCGTTTGAGTTTAGAACTTGAGTTAAAAAGTGAATTCATGTGAGTGAAAATGTTGTAGCAGAAAAAAGTTGAATTTGAATTTTTGTGAGAGAAGACACTATGGCAAAAAGTTTGAGTTGTGATTCGAATGGCGAAACGAACGAAGTCTAAAATATCTTCTGCTTTATATGATCATCAATCAAATAAAAAGTTATTCTATATAGCAATCCTTCTTGCCACAATTTTTTTTTTTCCTCCAAACCTTTTGTTGGTCGTCAAACATTTTGAACAGCAATTTTCATCTTAGAGTTTCAGTATTAAAGTATTGGTGGGAGTTGATTGCATAGTATTTATATTATATTATAATGTATATATTGATTCTCGAGAAAATTCCTCAATTTTCTTTAGCTCCTAAACTATGACATGGAATTTTTAGCTACTATATTTAACACATTGTTTTTCTATTTTCTTTGCTAATTGGGATTTAATTGCATTTTCCATTAATTTTTTCTTCTCTTTCTCCGTTTCTTGAAGACTTGAATCTTGAAACTGGTGCGACCATACCAGCTGGTGCATTGCTGGTTGTTCCTGTACAGCTGTTACAGAAGGATGGTTCTAGTTGGGGAAGTGATGCTGGTGAATTTAATCCATATCGCTTTCTTTCAAAGACGAGGAAGAGATCTAATTTGGTGAACACTTCATTTTCAGGTTTGAATGTCTAGAAGCATATAAACATAGTTTGCATACTTTTACTTTCTTGTGTAGAATCTAGGTTGGCTATGGTTAATCTTACCTTTACAGACTTCGTGGTAGGAATTGGAAATGTAAATAATCATAGCATGCATATAAATTTAACGTAGCATCTGAAATTAAAGTTAGCGAAACCAGCAATAGATCTCTCACTAACTGTTTTTGGGCTGCAGAACAAACAACAGATCTTGAAGAGGGCACCTTTGTTTTGAATGATCCAAATGAGAATGCAGCATTCCTGCCCTTTGGTTCTGGTATACGTTCCTGTGTTGGCCAAAAGTTTGTTATCCAAGTAGTAGCGACATTTTTCGCATCACTGCTCAAACACTATGAGGTTTATGCTCCGACTTTCTTGTACTTTTCATTGCAGAAATTTTGACTGGTTATTACACATTGCCAACAATGTCTGATCTCAAATTCTAAACTGATAGATGTGTTAGTAGAAAGTAATCAGACAAGAAAAACAAGCGACAACATAAAAATGACAATTTTGAGACTTTGGTAAAGCAGGATTACTGAACTCTTCATGTAGCTGTTTGTTTGTTAACAAAATGAATGCTTAGATGCCACATTTTTCAATGTAATCTATCCGTGAAGAGGTGGTAAACTGTGTTTTATAGAACAATATTTGGAAGTTGACCTTGATCATCCTTTGTCATTAATTTCCTGCAGCAATTAATGATATAGATGCAAGTAGAATAAGGGTTTTTGTGTGTGTGTGTGTGTGAAAAAGGGTCCAGAACTTAAGATGTCTTTCTTTATACCTCTAAACAATAGGTTGTGTTATATTTGATTTGGGGTTCGATCTATAACGGAAGTAATCCAACTTAAAGTCAAGTTTGCCTGTCATCTTGGTTCTTTCTCGCACTTCTCCTCCTATTTCTCTTTTCCCTGTACCTGTTGCACCCTTTTCTCTTTCTGGTAACACATTAATCTCTCTCTAGAAGACCAGGACTCGCATTAATTTTCTGCTCTTCTTCTCTCTATCTGCTTTTTCCGTGTTCCATCCTTAGTTGATTAAATTTTTTTCCGAGAGATTATCGTGACCATACTTCAAATAAAAGCAGACAATAACTTCCTTGCTAGGAGTTCATCTTCAAACGTGCTTTTTTTTTTTTATATGCTACGACCGCATGATTCACTTGTACCAAGATAGTTTTGAGCTTTATTTTTCATTTTATTTTATTTTTTTGGTCCAAATCTGAACTGCAGATAAAGCTCCCAGCGCAAGCCCAGAGTAATGAAAAACCAAAAAAGAACAACTGCGGGTTCCAGCTTCTTCCGAGCACGGAGATCGTTTTTCTCAGTAGGAGCAGCTGAAAGAAAAAAGGAGACAGAGATCCTTCCTCCTGGATAAGTGTTTTTATATATACTATTTTGTTTCCTTGTTTTTTTTAAAATGTTTGATGAGGGAAGCTCTCTTTTACTCGTTTGCGGACTAAGTTGAGGATATTACATGAGTATGGAATGTTTGACTCCATGTTTTTTTCCTCTCTTTTGAAGATATCCCAGGTGCTGTGAGTATGCTGTCACCGTTTTTTTTTTTTAAAGATGTTTTTGAAGCACACTAGGGCTATTATTGCTGCAGAGACCTCTATTATGTTTTCCCTCGTTGTATTTGTAACTCAGAGACCTCTTAATTGACGTTTTTTACTCCTTGGAAGGAGTTATTTCATACTGTCACAGAATATGTACAAATATGGAATTGGTTGTTGTAGTATTACTGAAGTTGTGTAAATTCCAAGAATAAAAAGTGACGTTTTATACGCATTTTTATTTTGCACTCTTTCTTGGTAAGTGAAGTGTAAATTTTCAGCATGAAAGTAAACATTTTATGTGTAGATAATTTTTTTTTTTAATTATTACTTTTATTGGTGCTCTCTGAACTTTAAGGCTAATTTTTTGAATCTAATTTTTTGAATCTCTAGTTAATATTTAAGCTAGACTACTTTTCCTACTAAATATCCCAGCCACTACTTTTTTTTTTCCTTGAATAATTAGAGTCAATATTTGTTTTTCTTTTCTATTTTCCGTTTTGTTTCTCAGTATTTTTTTTCCCAAAGCATTGATTGTTCTTGGAGACAATACAATTTTCACAGAATACACTTGTGATGATTAATTATACGTGAACTTTATTTTTATTTTTTTAACTTAAGAGATAAGTTTGATCGTTGTAGTTGCATTTTATTTTTTATGCGTTGACACTTATTGTAACGTATAATAGAATAGATTGTCATAATATTAATACTATAGTAAATGATCTTTTTATTTAACTTGGAATGATCATGAAGAATTATTATAAAGAACTATTTCGAGGGGGAAAAAAAGGATGTTGAGAAGTAAAAAAGAATTAATTTGTTCTTATTAGTGTGTCATTCAAATAAAGTTTTATGAAATGTAAGAAATAACAAAGATAAGTTGTGTGTGATGATTTGGATGCTCTTTCCCAATGATATGGTGGTCGGGTAGTGTTTCGAAGCTGAGGGGACGTTTATTTTCTGTATTCATCTCTGATTTTAAATCATGATTCATGATTCTTAACAGTGTTTTTCTCTCACAAAAAATACACGTAAAACGATAATAATTTTAAATTATAATTTTAAATCTATAAACTAAACGTTCGTTCATCGAGAGTCTTGGATCTTATGATGCTCTTTGTCAGCCGCACTTGTGGAGGTATGGGTTTTAGGAGGTTTCCAGATGCTAATCAAGCCTTCTCAACGAGGTCACCTTGCTTGGGAGAACTACAAGTTATGGAATAAGATCTTACTAAATACGCGTTTATTAAATTGTAAAGAAATGTAATCAGAAAAGAAATGGAACTAAAACAAAATAAAGTAAATAGAAATAAAAATCATCGATGATGTATTAAAAAATAATTTAATTTTTTTTCTTGTGTTTATTATAATTAAGAATAAAAGTCTACAACACTAAAATGGCATAACTTTCATTTCAAACAATAAATTCATCTCTAACTCATTACATCATTTTTAACGAGAAAAATAATATTATGTGTACATTCTCCTTTTTGCAAATTAAAAAAATAAAAAAGGACACTAAATTTGGTGTTGAGTGAACAACTGTTCATCCCACCATTCACACCAAAATGACGTGTAAAAATGGTGTATGGTTGGAGGTATACGGCAACCCTACTTTTTTCACATTAAAATGGGGTGCTTTAGAGTTGGTCTTACATAAATAAAAAATCATTAATTATACCGTAATTTATTAAGAATAAATAGGTAAATTTAGTATTTTTTTGACAGAGAATTAATACTAAAGAAATACAAAGATGATATTCTTTTTTTTTTTTATATCTTGTATTATTCTGGGGTCACTAAATTTTTATTATTAAATTTATAAATAAATACATTATTATACGGGAAAAAGAATCACTCTTTACTTTTCTTTTTCCTTTGATGCAAAGTAAATGCACCCAATATGAAGGCTTGAGAGCGTAGTGGGAGTTGTCTCCGTTGAGGAAGCTCTTTGCAAAGGGGCTTGCTTCTTGGTGAATACTGGGAGTAGGGTGGATGTGTGGTCAAAGCGTTTGATTACTTGGAATCAGTTTAATTTATGGATTCAGAATTGTGATTCAGAATTATTATCGATTTACGTGTATTTTTTGTAAGAAAAAATACTGTAACGAATTACGAACTATGATTTAAATCATTGTATGAATACACTAACCAAACGCTACACGTTTATGATCTTAAGTTTCTTATGATGTAAGACCTCGATAATGGCCTCGTTCGTTTCGCTAATTCGAGTTGAGATGTGATTGTATATGAGAGCTTTTTATTGTAGCAAAAAAATTAGATGTGATTATTTGTGAGAGCTTTTTACTGTAACAAAACTCGAATCAGCGAAACGAACGAGGCTTTAATTTTAATAGGTGATTATAAAGCTTTTTTTTTTTTATGTAAGCGGTAGCTCGTGATTCGACATAGGATGTTCTTATTATGTGGTGTAAATCGAGTCTATGCTGTTATATAATGAGAGATCTTAACGGTTTTTTAGCTTTTTATTAGCGATTAAAGTGAGGTTGTAGAATATTATTATTGAAGACAATGTTAAAAGTTATTTAACATTACCTTCAAGTTATTTCTTTCGACTTTTTGGGAGTGCACTGAGAATTGGGAGGGAGAAAATTTGAGGCTAGAAAATTGTAGATTTAACTCAAGATTTTTGTTCCTATTCCATCACTTGAATCCGGTGGAATGAAAATGAAATGCTCATAGAATTCGTCAATTAGATTAGACTAGCAAGACGTGCGCTTTCTTTTGTCGCGTCGTGTGTTAGGTTGTGCGCTACGGTACTTGTTTTTGGCTTATGTCATTCCTATTTTGTTTTCTTAGAGCCTGTTTAGTTGGAGAATTCATTTCTCTGATTTGTATTATGATTTATAATTCGTTACAGTATTTTCTCTCATAAAAAATACACATAAATTAAAAATAATTTTAATCTCATAGTTCTAATCTATGAGCCAAACGAGCTCTTAAAACTTTGCTTACAACAAAAGAAATTTTTTTTGTTAAATAAATAACACTTATGTAATGTTCATTTTATCAAATTGAGTTTAGAATTTAAATTTTACTCTTAAAAATAGTTACATTTAATTTTTTTATTTTAATAAAAAATTCTCATATAAAATTATATATTAACTCAAATTAAATACTTAAATAAGTAAACTAAAGAGTTGTTTGGTTGGAGAATTCATACCCCAATTTAAATTATAATTCATAATTTATTATAATATTTTTTTTCATAAAAAATATATATAAATTAAAAATAATTTTAATTTATGAACCGAAAATCTCCTAGTCTTTAAAAACAACATCGGAAGTTTCGAATCCATTGTTACGTGGTTCATCCAATATGCTACGAAACGAAGCTTACAGATTAAGCAAAGCCCCCAACGCCTCCCAAAAAAAATAAAAAATAAAAAAGCGACACGCTTAAGACACGTGTCGAGTGTAGACATCCTAGGTCCCAAGAGCAAAGAAGCCTAAAAAAGAAAGCGACACGCGTAAGACACGTGTCGAGTGTAGGCATCCTAGGTCCCAAGAGCAAGGAAGCCTAATAATAATAAATTTATATAAAGAGAAATGTGATACGACAAAAGTGCAAAAAAAAAAAAAGAAGAGATTAGAGAAAAAGGAAGCCGGAAAATCCGTGTGTGGAATTGAATTGAAAGAAAGAAACAGATTAGAGTAGAATTTTGAAAGAAATCTGAATGAGCTCGAAATTGAGCGCTTCAAGAATCTCATACGCTCTTCTTCCATTCGTACCACTCTTCGTCTTCATCTTCGTCTTCTTCGTCCAGTTTTCCCAATCCAACATGGCCACACTCGGCGGCGTTCGTCAATCCCGAGGCTGCGAGAACAGCGCAGACGTTGAAGATCTCGCTCGATTCGCCGTCCAAGAACACAACAAGAAAGAGGTATAGGTTAAGGTTTCCCTTCTTCCGCCGAATCTTGTTTATGGTGAATTTCAGAATATGCAATTTCTTGATTACCTGTTTGTTTTATATTTATTTCTCGGTCCATTATAGCGAAATCGCTCGTTGTTAGAAATTTAGGGATGAAAATGGAATTAATCTCTTACCATTTTTCGGGTTTTTTTTTTTTTTTTTCTGTAGAATGCTTTGCTTGAGTTTGCGAGAGTGGTGAAAGCAGAAGAGCAAGTGGTTGCTGGGACGCTGCACCATCTGACTCTTGAGGCGATCGAGGGTGGAAAGAAGAAGATTTACGAAGCCAAGGTGTGGGTGAAGCCATGGCTCAACTTCAAAGAGTTGCAGGAATTCAAGCACACTGGTGATGGTGATGCCGCTCCATCCTTCACTAGATCAGATCTTGGTGTCAAGCAAGGTGGGTCCCACTTTCCATAGCTTTCTGGGATAAATTAATATTGCTTCTTCTTTTAATTTTGCCTTGGCTTTCAGATTTTTTTCTTAAAGCCATTTTTTATGGCTAAATAAACCAAAAATGAAATAAAGCAATCAAAAACCAGCCATGTTATGTCTTGATTGACTATTCAGAGCGTATCTAGAATGAGGATAATTGCTTAATCCCTTTCTTGTGTGTTTATTTATTACTAAACTTAGGAGTAGAAATCTTATCCATATAGTAACTAAAATATGCTTTTACATAATTAAATTTGGCAATACTTCGCTTTAACGGGAGCCTGTACCATAGGGTTGCAAGGATTCACATTTTCTTTCTTCATTTCTTATTTGGGGCCTACTAAATCTGGTTGTGTAAGTAAACTCATGATTAGATTTAGATGGGTAAAGAATTACACAGTTATTTTTTTTTTTCCTTTTCTTTTCCTTTCAAGTGATGTAAATGTTCCTTCTATGTTCTATAGGATTCGTGCCATGATTTGGTTCGTAGTTTGTTACAGTATTTTCTCTTAGAAAACACACATAAATTGAGAATGGTTCTGGTTCTGCATCATGATTCTAAATCTATGAACCAAACGTCCATGATTGAGAAATGCTTAAAACTGTATGAGTTCTAGGGCGGTTCTACCTTGAATCTTTTTCAGCTTTTTCCATGAGTGAGTGTGATTGGAACGGAAGTAGTTCCATGAAGTATCTCAGAAGAGCTTCCACACCCCCCTCCCTCCCTCCCTCCCTAAATGGAATAGGAAGCATTCAGAGATAAACCCTAGTAATAATTTTTGAATTGTTCACTTCATTATTCACAACTGTTTGAATATAAACTTTACAACAGTTGTTACTTTACAATATATATGCCCTTTGATTTGATATTTTGAATGGTTAAAGCTTGAGAGTGGATGTCCTCCACTGTGACCGATATTGAAATCCGTGTCTGTGATCAGGTGGGCATAGAGAAGGGTGGCAAGTAGTGCCAACGCATGATCCAGTTGTTCAGGATGCTGCGAACCATGCTCTCAGTACTCTCCAGCAGAGGTCCAACTCTTTGTTCCCGTATGAACTTCAGGAGGTCGTTCATGCAAAGGCAGAGGTGAATGTATTTTGATTTCCCCTCCCCCCCCCCCCCCCCTTCC